GAACTGAAAACGAGGTCGCGTTTAAAAAAAAAGGGGGGGAGGGGTGTATATTGGTACGAATTTTCCTTGCCGAGACGTACTTGTATTATAGCAGTCAACTCACGAAGTATCTTACTCGAACGATATCTGACAATCAGCTTTTCAATTTTATTGATATTACTATTTTATTTACTCACATGTAATCAATATAAGATCTGACTAGACGGAGTATCGAACCCTATTATATAGAGTAAAATTTACTGCAAGTTTCGAGAAATCTGGGAGTTTCGTTTTTAAAAACACGTATTAACGTTATAAGAAGCTTTATTAATTTTATTAAAGTGAACTTCTGAAATTGGGGGCAAAACTTACCATCTTAATAAGTGGAAGGTCAAAGATTCGAGCTGCGATATATATATATATATGTATATATGCCGCACAGCTCGCTCTGCACTTCCAGTTGTGGGGGTTGTAATAAATATGATAAACGCTCCTCTCATTGGCTAACAGTAGACACACTAGCGACGAATCAGCAGTTAAGAATTAAGGATGACTATGCCCCTGAACCTGTGGGGTCTTTGACCTGGCCGTTAGTCTGTCTTTCCCATAAGATTCCTTTCGAACTGAAAATACCAAACGTCGTCTGTCTGTTTATCTATAAGATAGTTAAGGTGGGGACGGGCGATAAAGAAAAATTATTTCCACGAAAAAATATTCTAAAAGTATCGTAATTATCGTATTTTATCACAATGATTTTCAACGTGAGCGAGGGTATGAGGAGGAAGGATGATTCGTTAACCCTATCGACTTGTGGTTTTCCATATTTAAAACTGCCGACTCTAAACTTTTTTGTCAAACAAAATCTAAAATATCAGTGCACTTAGAATAACGTGTAACACGGTTTATACTTCCTGACGAAAAGCTTCTACCAGGAACGTTGCAAGTAATAATAAAAAAAGTTTTTGTTAAAGACGTGTCTTTTTGTTTACAAAAATAAAAGCGTGACATTCGAATAGATAACTAACGTAAACAACAAGGCCTGGCCTTTTGTCGTCACCTCGTTGTTGAAGTGTTATGCGTGATGTCGTGGATGATAATACGTTATTGTCGTTCGTTATTTGTTTTTGATTTATTGGCATCGAAAAGACACAAAGTTAGCAGATTCAGTGCAAAAATGAAGCCATTTTCACACGTGTTCACAGAATTTAGGCCTTACCGAGTGTTAACGCTACTAACTCACAGTTGTAGTGAAACAAATTTGTTTAATCTATATAAATATAATAGTACTGTTTGTCCATGTAACTACTTCGCAGGGTGTCGATGGATCCTCACCAAAATTGGTATGGAGGTTCATTGGGTCAATGCGGAGGTACATGCAAATTTTCAGTTTTGCGGGTTTTATGGGCGTTTTTTTTTCATCACTAATTCTCCCCCTGTAGATGGCTCTTCATCAAATTTGTTTAATCTATATAAATATAATAGTACTGTTTGTCCATGTAACTACTTCGCAGGGTGTCGATGGATCCTCACCAAAATTGGTATGGAGGTTCATTGGGTCAATGCGGAGGTACATGCAAATTTTCAGTTTTGCGGGTTTTATGGGCGTTTTTTTTCATCACTACTTCTCCCCCCTGTAGATGGCTCTTCATCAAATTTGTTTGTAATTGAGCACAAAGCTACACAATGGGCTATCTGTGCTCTGCCCACCACGGGTATTGAAACCCGGATTCTAGCGATTAAAGATAATTATAGAATTTAACTAAAAAGAATTTGTCTGTACATACTCTCCACGGACCCAATGAGCATCCATACCAAATTTGGTGAAAATCCATCAACAGGGGGCGAAGTGGTGGTAAAAAACGCAAAACCCCCAAAAAAAGGAAAATGCAAAACTGAAAATCTGTATCTCCCCATGGACCTAATAAACCTCCATACCAAATTTGATGCCCCCCCCCCTCAGTGGCACAGCGGCATGTCTGCGGACTTACAAATATATATATATATGTTAGTATAAAACCCCATCAACGATTAAGGGAAACCATTGTTGAATGATATATATATATGGTTTTATTTATTTTTAACGATATTTTTCTGCCACTAGGTTAGCTTGCAGAAAGGATTAACTTTCTTTTGGTCGAGCACAGCCCAGATAATTGTTTTTTAACGCACTCCGCACTTTGAGTCATGGGCGCGTTATGAGATTGGTTGTCAAAACCCACTGTTCGATTAGTTTAGCCCACTTTCTGTAATCTATCACTTCAAAATTAGGGATGGCGAGCGTAGATAGCCCTCTGTTAGCTGTGCAAGAAATTCAACAAATAATTTGAATTTTTTGAGAAACGGAAACAAAAGCTCTCTTTTTTTTTATCTTTTAAACTTGAATTTACTTATTTTGTTTTCACTAAGGAGCTAAGAAAAATTCAGGAATTATATCTCTGGAACATAAATATATCATAAAGTTACCACCGAACTCTGGTTGGAAGAGGACAGCCATGTAATGATACTTCGACACAACCACAAGACAACTATAATGACCAAAGGTGATGGAGGTTATGTTTTCACTCCTTTGTGTGTTTGTTTGTCAGCAAGATTTCTCGAAAACGGCTGAATGGGTTTGAACGAAAATGGGTATAAATTTGGTCTATGACCTAACTTAGAAGTGATTAGTTTTTGGAGGGGGTCAACAATAAAGGTCAAGCTCACAGCAACTTCAAGAAAATAGAAAATATCCCTGTATGTTAACTTGGGGAACGATTTTTCGCGATAACCCAGTCAAAAATGATCGGATTTTGATGAAACTTGGTGGACGTATGTAGAATATTATTCCTCATTGTTCTGCCAAAAACGTTCCGTATCCGTTGATAACGACGGACATATGGACACATTTTCGTATTTTTCGAGAGCCGAATATGATCAATGCTGCGTGGAGGAGGTATGCACTCCACTGAGTGTCCGTCTAGTTGGTGTGTATAAATACAGGGAAATAAGAAGCGTATTGCATCCAGTAATTCAAATAAAACACCGTTACACCCCCACTATTATTAAGGCAACTTTGAAAACCCTAAACCGTACTTTCCTCGCTGAAAAAAATTGAAATAAAAATTGTGCTTAACTACAAACAAACAAATTATTTCTTGGCCACTATATTTCAAATAATTTACGTGAAATTAAGTACATGTAGACTATTTACAGATCCCAAACGAAAATTTTGGAAAGCTACACAAAGGGCTATCTGTACTCTGCCCACCACGGGTATCGAAACCCGGTTTTTAGCGTTCTAAGTCTGCATATATACCGCTGTGCCGCTAGGGGGCGCGCGCCAAGAAATTGACCAAAACCCCTAAAATTATGCTTTTCGTGACCTTTTGACCCTCATAAAATGGGCAAATCCAACTTATTTATATGTTGTGTATTGAGCTCTTGAAAATTTATATTTTTGCCCATTATCATCGTGACTGCTGAAAACATGACCGCACAGGAACCCAAAATATAGTTTTTTGGATTGCTTGATCTTTGACTGCATAAAATCCTCAAAAAGATTTAACTAAAAAGGTTTTTGGGCGTATTGGACCAAGGTATAATCCTACCAAATTTCAAATTGATCCACCGAGAAATGAAGGAATGACGGGCGATTTTTTTTTTTTAGAAAAGTTCTTGGAAAAAGAAGAAACAATAGAAAAACTGTCTCACTTCGGAGACATAAAACATTGCTGTGAGAAGGGTAACATGTCTTGAGGATCACCATTCTCACACTAAACTATTCTTCGTTACAACTGTCCTTCGCTGGCTCGGTGGTAAGCTTAATGTAGTTTTTGCATTCAAACTAAACTGACACCATTGATAGTTTGAGTTAAAGACAAACCATTTACGTTTATTTCTGAAGTATTTCACTAGTGTCGCTGTCAGTAGCTTCTAGTTACCTGTACGTCAAGGTTTTATTGTTGTGTCAGAAGGTATGTATATCTAAAAAGTATTATGGAATTGTTAAGTCACTTTATACGCATGTTTCTATAGGATTAAGGTGATGGCGACTTGTTATCGACTCTAAATGTTATCTGTTCGGGTTACTGTTGAATAGTGATTACCATCAAGAGATGTAGAGCAACTGCTAAAACGAAACGTACAGGCAGTTGAATATGTTGTGTTGAAATGATTTTGGAGCCTCACCACGTCATTACGGTGCTTCGTACTGTTAGACACATAGACGGTTATTGCTACTGATTTTTCTGTTTGCGAATGCTTACCCATTAACAAGATGCCGCATTTTCCTTACCAAGTCTTTTTCTGAATGGTCGTGGTACCCCAAGCTGATCCACATTCCATTGTTTTCCAGTGTAATTAAGTGCAAATGATGTTCTCGTCTTAGAAATTCTAAATCTCCTATCTCAACATGTCTTTTTGATCTGAGTGTATGAATATTTAGCGTCGGCTGTGTGACATGCTGATTTGCGCATTCAAAATCATGTTAATAAAATATACTGAACCATCTGTACAACATACGTTAACTATTGACCAGTTTCAAGGTGTGTGTTTTTCTGTGACTTTTGGAAAGATCTAAGATTCTGAAACCTTATGAAGTTTGTGTTTGTTCACAGTGAGCTATCTCCACTTTGTCCACCATGTGGAACCGAACTCTGAATTATAGCGTTGTAGGGGGAATAATGATTGCTGTAGGTAGAAATCTGGAGCTAAAGCTGTAAATAAGTTTTGAATCAGAGTTCGTGTTTCAAAGATTTTCGTTTCTAAATTCAACTTGATGAACTAACTTTCGAAGGTCTCTTAAAAGGAGTTAAGAAATAAAATAGGTAACATTATGTTGTTATTGTTGTTGTTTTTTAATTGCTTCACAGTTAAACAAAAAAGTTACATACCGCTTTCATATTGGCACATTTTACACCTTCAAAAATATTTTACGCATATGAACTAGGAAATACGTATTGCGTATTTTCTTCCTTTTTTAAAACTATTTTTATGCGTGAATCCGATCTGATGTTGTGTTGCTGTTTTTAATTCTGTTTCAGGCCCATATGGTGGCAGCATTCGAACAAAGCCTTACGAACATGACAGGCAGGCTTCAGCATCTCACAGCGTCAGCAGAGCAGAAGGTAAGTTTACTTTTAGAAAATAAGAGTCATAAGCAGTGGCGTATTAACCAATTCAAGGCTTGGGCCTAGAGCGTAACAATCATATGGGCGCATCTTAGGGGAAAAAAATATTCAAAACAATTATTTAATTTTGAATTTTTTTATAAGAAAAACAAACCCCCCCCCAATTTGTTGTTGTTCTCGTGTTGATGGAGAATTTACCCAGTGAGCCATGCGAGAAGGAAGAGACGAATGTAAAATTGTAGGCCTAGAACGCCTGTTACCCTTATTACGACCCTTTTAACTTTAACGTTAGTTTGTATAAAGTCTTGGCATTCTGGGACCATAAGTTTTGTAGTATAACACAATAATTTTCTCGGAATTGAGATAGCATGTTCGCATGTTTTTATTGGACTTGTTTGTAGTTCAGCACAAAGCCATCTGTGCTGTGCCAAGTACGGGTATCGAAACCCGGTTTTTAACCTTATAAGCCTTCACATGTGCCACTGGTTGTGGGGGAACTGGAAAAAAATAACAATTAAAATGCACGATTGTACTTAATGTTTACTCATTTCCCACTGTCTGTTTGTTTTTGCTAGTAATAAGAAACGTTATACATATTTATCCGAAACGTCTTAGACACGTGTTTGTATGAAATATAAGCCTATTTCTTTGGTATTCCAGTAAATTTAATTTTAAAATGTTTCTTTTTTAAAAACAGGACACGGAGCTTGGTGAATTGCGAAACACTATTGAGGCCCTAAAAAAGCAAAGTGCAGAAGCTGGACTTACAAAGATGGCGCTGCAATCAATGCAAGCAGTTCAAAGAAGTAAGATCGTGTATATGACATTTTATAATTTTTTTTTGGAACTTTTGTAAATTGTTTGATTACTAAGATTCTACGTGTTTAGTAATTCAGTTATTAAACAGTTCTATATAATATTAGCTGACGTTGGGATGACATAAAAGGGCCAGATTTAAATATCCATACCTCTTGTGTCACTGCTCAGGGTACACGTTATATTTGATGACAATCGTTCCAGCGGTTCGCCAGTTACAAAAGGACACACACACACACACACAGACAAAATTTTGTCAAATTAAGGTTTAGCTTTCAAAGGACAGTAACGTTCTACTAAGATGTATTTCTATAACTAAACAAGAGTCACCGACGAAACAGTATTGTTTGTTTTAAATCTGATATATATATATATAGCTAGTTCGTGTTAGTGAATTAATGTTAATTTGTCTGGTTACGCTTCCTCTCCCCTGCTCTCACGCCATCTATGGGCTCAATTCAGTTACGTACTGATAAATGAATGAGTGCTGGAACGCTTTTAACCGTGTACAGCGGGATTCATTCCGCGATACGGCGTTCCAGCAATAAAAAAAATAAAGAATACAGGTACACCGTGCCCACGTTTCCAATCTAATATGTATTCCACCAGATCTTAAAGACGTTCAATTTTATTCATGAATGAAAAGAATACTTCTAGTAACATGTGATTTGTGTTCAGGAAAGACTGGTGAAAATTGAAACAAATGTTATTTGTTAATTATTCAACATTTAGGCTTCATCAAAGTTTTATGTTCATTTTTTACAATGTTGAGAAAGCAGAAGGACCAATTTTGAACCTAAGTAAGTCGTTGCGTATGTTTCAAGTCCCTGATCAGGGAACGACATCCAACTTGTAATATTTTTTCAGGGAAAAGTTTTCTCCCCCCCCCCTCAAATTCATCCACAACCTTGTCCCTCCCACTTTTAAACAACATTCTTCATGTTGTTACAGTACAACCGGTAATAGTGTGTTAAACAATGTGGTTACAGTACAACCTGTAATAGTGTGTTAAAAAATGTGGTTACAGTACAACTGATAATAGTGTGTTAAACAATGCTGTTACAGTACAACCGATAATAGTGTGTTAAACAATGCTGTTACAGTACAACCGATAATAGAGTGTTAAACAATGCTGTTACAGTACAACTGATAATAGTGTGTTAAACAATGCTGTTACAGTACAACCGGTAATAGTGTGTTAAACAATGCTGTTACAGTACAACCGGTAATAGTGTGTTAAACAATGTGGTTACAGTACAACCGGTAATAGTGTGTTAAACAATGTGGTTACAGTACAACCGGTAATAGTGTGTTAAACAATGTGGTTACAGTACAACCGGTAATAGTGTAGTTAAACATGTGGTTACAGTACAACGGTAATGTAGTAGTTAAACAATG